AGGTGTTCATATTGGGCAGTATGTCTGTTTCAGGTCAGAGACCAAGGGCACAGGAGAAGAGCTGTCAGCACACACACCTTTCTGGAGTTGGGGCCCCAGGGGAGAGTTGTTTAACACATTCCTGGGCTGCTTATGGAATGTCCTTTTCTGTTCTGGAGAGTGAAGCAGGCATGCCCACGGCGAGGCTCGCAGGGTCCTGCTCATTGGTATGAAGAAAAGGAGATCCTTGCCTCATCGCTATCCTTCCCTGGCGGCCTTCCTCTGGGAAGGGAGGCTTCGTTTGGAAACAGTCAGCCTTCCCCTTCTGACCCTTCCAGCAGCAATGTGATGCTTTCTCCTGCTCCCAGGATACCCACCCCATGCCACAGAGCCTTTTATCTCATCTCCCTCACTGGGCTCTCCCACAAGACACTCTTCCCTAGAGGAACAAAATCAGACTTCTCCAAGGGTGAGGGGATAGGGGTCACTTTATTTCCTACTAGAGTCATTGTAGCAGTTGTAAAACTTACAGCCACAGGAGTCATAGATGGGAAAGGGCCCTGAGCCTCTAGTTTATTTCTCCGGTCTCTGTGGTTGGGGTTGGGGCTCGAAGAGTCATTATTGTCTGCTGGGGTTTGTATGGGAGCCAAGCAAATACCTGGGAGCTTGGGAGAGCTCTGGAGCTGCCTCTGCCTGGAAGTGCAGGTGGGAGTAGACACCTTCCTTTATCTGGCCCCAAGGCTCTGTTCTACCATGCCAGCAGACGCTGCGTGAGGGCCAGCAGACTGGCAGCCTAGGGCTGGAGGAGGTGGGAGCAGGTGGTAAAGACGAGTGCCAACAACCCCGAGGATGGAGACATGAGCTGGGCTACTGGGAATGGAGCCCTGGAGCCAGACAGATTTGGATCGAATAACCAGTGGTGCCCGGTGCTCTCTAGGTCAGGCTGAGACTGTGGACACTCACTTCTCATGGCTTTGCACACAACTCCCCAGGCTGTCCTGTTCTGGAGGAGTTAGGATTTCTCAGATGCCATAAAACTTCCTGAGGCTGAAAGAACCCCCCAAACCTGGAACATGAAGGAGAATGGTAGGATAACAGCAAAGTTTAGACCACAAAGGCAAACACTGGGGAGGTTCATCCTGCTTCAGTGACTTAACCCTGACCACGTGGCCCTGAAGGGAGAGTCCTCTGAAGCCCCAGAGCCACCATGGAGCCACCATGGGGTTCCGAGGATGCTCTGCGTAAGCTGGACTGGTCTCTCAAAGGCCTTTCTGGGAATCTCGCATTGCAGGTGCTAAATGAGGGCATCCTGTAATGAGGGACTTTTTCAAATTTTGGGTCACTATCCATTATGGACTGTGTAATCAACCAGGTAGATCCCCAAAAGAAAGACAAAAAGACAAAAGGAAGGGAATAGAAAAGGATAAAAAGCAGAGCAGGGTGTCTCTTGTTTAATAAAACTTATATATAGGCAGGGGTATACTAGGTCATGATAAAACCATATTTCTTAGTATGGGTTGCAGTTAAAATTTTGAAAAACACTGTCCTGGAAAGACACTTTTGTTTGGGTTGATTTCATTGTTTACAGCTTCCTTCATTTATTCATTCCACTTTCACCACCTGGAACATATATGCAGGGAACAGTCCTCACACGGCATAGAAAAGATAAATGAATTAACCTTTCTGGACTGGCCTTAATTATTATTTTTTTAAATCTCTAAAACAAGGGAGCTGCCTGGGAGGCCTGGTGGTTTCTGCCTCTATGAATCAACGACTCTGTGTCTCTCAGAATGTTCTTTGGGAATTGGCTGAGTGAGAGTCTTCCATTCATTTTCACCATGCTCATAACCATAAAATTTCTAAGGGGAAAAAAGGGCCCTAAAAAAAGGAAAAGCAAACAGTTTGATGGGAGTGCTCCAGGGAGAGCTCAAAGGGCACATTTTACCTGGAGAGCAGCCTCTGGACAGCTTATAAACCTCTGTCCCTGGGGACAGGGTCTCTGGGAGCCTCTCAGGGACAAGGTGATCTGCTGCAGCACTGGCACCTCGGCAAGACGCGGTGCTTCAAGGACAGTGACCAGCCTGCAGCGAAGAGGAGCCCCCCAGCTGAGGACAGCAGCCTGCCCAACCACCCACAGGCACCTGGAGCCTGGCACAGAGGCTGAAAGGCCAGACTCTGCCTTTCCGCAGATTTTGTGAAATGAAATTCACTGAGGTGGCCTCAGCCTGGCATCTCTGGAATCGTTTCCGCTGGGCAGGTCACACCTGGAAGGGCTCTTTGTTTCTATACAGGCCATTGAGTCTATAGCACCACATAAAACATAGTATCCTGCGCAGAGCAAGTGCCCAGTAGATGGTCCCTGAAGTGATTTTTCAGAGATAAAAATGGATAAAAAACACAATCTGAACATTCTATAAGGATTTCCCCTCCCAGGGACAAGTGAGAATACAAGAAATGTTAACTTTGGGAAAGGGAAGAGAAAATTGGTGTTTTCATTAGAGGTTCTGGTACATGTATCATAGCTGTCAAGCTAGAGGAGTTTACAGCTATTAATTCTAGTACAGGAATTCTGTCTGCCATCAAGGTCTTGCTGAGAACAGGGTAGCAACCTCCCTTCCCAGTCCCTGTCTAGGAAGAAGCGAGATCAGAAGACAATTTGTGATTACGACAAAACTGGGAGAAGTGAATCTCATGTACTTTGTTTTTCTACTTCCACAAAATAACCTTCTTTCTAAGAATAAAGCTGAAGTGAAAAGATCCATCTTTGTTCAGTACAAACACAAGATGACCGAGTGTGAGGTGATAAAACATGCAATACTTAGAACGCATGTTACGAAGACCAGAGAATTGATAGGTCATTCTGACCTGAAGATGTCAGGAGAGGCCTGATGTGACAGGTGGGATCTGAAAGAGGAAAAGCTCTGGAGAGACAGGTGAGAGCTCGAAGTTCGGGCCATTGGGGGAAGATAAAAAGAACTTGGTTAGGGACACAGTAATGGGACCGATGACATCATGTACGGGAGAGGCGGGTGGTGTGTGTGATGATATCTATAATCCTGCAAATCTGCCAAACCCAGAGCTTCTGCGTTCTCCAAGGCTGGGTTATTTAGATCATGGTCCAACAGGTAAAAAGCTCACGGACATAATTTTTTTTGAGAGGCAGCATGGAACAGTGTAGAGTGCAGAGAGGAGACCTGGGTCCAAGTAGTTCCCCAGCTGGAAGCACTTCAATGGCTCTGACAACTCTGCACATCCGCTGTACAGTGCAGAATGTCCTACTCCGCCTGACTCATCAGTTGAAGAGCTGTGGAAAGAGACTAAAAGTCAATACTATGGAACACTGAGTACTCATCTTCTATCACTTTTTGATAAGGTTTATTTTCAAGAGGACAGGTTCACCTGCTTGGCCACTAAAGCTCCACAGAAGTGACTTCTGAGGCATTACCTCTTTCCAGAGGCTTGTGGTACTTCCTAAGAATGCCCCAAAGTATTGATTGTCAGATTTCCTCTTATGCTCTACTTCCTGTGAGAATTACTGCTGGCTTTCCCATAATGCTTTGGGCAAGGAGATTCTTTTACTTTCATTGCAGGTGACAACCCATCCATCAGATTAGGAGGACCTCTAAAGGGGCACATTCCTTCATGTGTTTCTCAGAACAGATTCTGGTCCATTCCCTAGTTCAATCAAACAGTGTGTTTCCTATTTTGTTAAAGCTTTCCAGAGAAAAAGTTTCCATGGTACTCCCTTAATGAACTGCTTCAGTGCTTATCAATCCTCACCATTTGAAGGTTCTTCCTTCTGTTCAGACTCAGTCCATTTTCCTTGATCCAATTACTGAGAGTTTGAGAGGGGCTGGTTATCATACAGTCCAGCAGAGCTGTCCCAGAAATGGTGCAGGGGCCACTGCACCAGCAGACTTGCTGGGCTCTAGTACCATCGTTCATCTGCGTGAGGCTGGGCAAATCACTTAACCTCCCCATGCCTTAATTTCCCACCTGCTCAATGTGTCCACCTGAACCATAGTTTCCTCCTTTACTAAAGGCAATCTGTTCCCTAAGGGAGGTCACCAGCTGCTTGGTGACTTGGTGGGCATCTCTATTGTAGAACAGAAGTTTGTGATGACTATTTCCGTATACAATCTCCCACTGGACAGTGAACTTTAAGGAGGAAACCATGTCTTTTTCATCTCTCCGCTAGCATCTAGAGCGGTGCCTACCTAACACATTGACAAAGAAACAGAGTAATTTTTAGCCCAAATGTTCTAGGGCGAATTTTCCGCATCCATTTACAATTCCAGGTTTCGAGATGTATTCTTCCTCTGCTCTTCTCTTCACACTAATCGTCAGTTGGTAGGGTTGGGGGGAGGTGGGGGCCTGGGGACCAGGGCCCGGGGAAACTAAGACTAAGCTCACTTGGAAGAGGTTCGCGACGGGCCAGGAACGTGGTCAGTCGGGTCACGAGTGGGGACGACGATACAACTCCACTTCTGCCACGTTTTCCGTTTGCTCTTTTACTTTAGCGTGTGGGGTTGAGCTGAGCTCCCTGGCGCTCTGCAGAAGTAACCGCGGCGCCCGGGATTTCCCAGGAGCGCGGTGAGAACTGTTGGTGCCGACAGCAGGCGCCCCCCAGCGCCGCGAAGACGAAGAAGTCCGGGCCGGGTCAGCCCAGGTGGGGGTGACGCACCTGAAGAGGCGTCCGCCGCAAGCTGGGTGGAACCACAGCAGCAGGGAGTGGGGGGATACATCACAGATGATCCAGGCGGAAGCGCTGATGTGCACATACATGAACATCGAAAACTCTCACGCACGGAGGACAGAAGCATGCTTTGCCTTGTGGACGTCAGTCGTGGAGGACTACAGCGGGCAGAGTCTCTCAAACCACAGTGCCATGGTTGATTCCAAGTCCAAGATGGTTGCTGTATCGATGGAGCTCTTGGCAAGCAGAGACTGGACCTGTGGGCGGGGCCAAGGAGCGGGGGCGGGCATGGGGCGTGGCCTCGCGGGGGCGGGGCCAGGTGCTGGGCTGTCTCTGCTTGTCAAAAGGCAGCAGCCGAGCCCGAGGCGCCGGGAGCGCGGAGCAACGTGCCCACCAGCTCGCCAGACCAGGTGAGGCCCCGGGCGCGGCGGGGAAGGGGGTCCTAATGTCGGCATTAGGCCCATGTGTGGGCGTCGGGATATCAGGCCTGAATGCCCCGGTGCAAGCACTATAGTCTAAGTCACAGGGGCAAACTTGGTGACTAGGATCTGGGCTGTCGTGCCATGAGGCTGGGGCACTGAAGGGACACTGTGATCTGAGGAACAGCTGAAGTTTGTGCCAGGCTGACGAGGGAGCAGCGACCTCTTTGGTGCTCAAGCAGCTTAACGCAGAAATGCTCCACTTGCACAGTGCTCAGCACTTGGGCGACAAGAAGCATTTGTTTCCTTCCTCTGTTGAGGTGCCTTGGCGTGGAGTGGAGGAATACGAAAAGGAGAGACTGGCTGCTGATGGAGCTAAGTTTCTAAGAGTGGAGTGTGTGTACCCTTATTATCTCGTAGGACCCAGGTATGGTCACCTGCTGTCGCGGAGCTGGATCTTTTAAGTAGAGTATTTTTCTTTACTTGACTTATTTATTTATTTTTTTAACAACCAATGATTTTAGACATAGTTGGCCTAGGGCACTGGACTTATTTTTCAGGAGATATCCATAAATGTCCAGCAGAACTCAGGGAAAGGCATCTAATAGAGGAGGGGGCTCAGGGAGTAGTTTCTGTTTGGGAAGTGAGAGGCTGGCATGTGGTGGACCATGAGTGAGGAGGATTCAGGGGAAGTATCTAGGAGGGAGCATGTGGTCTCAAGGGAGCAGTAGACACTGCCAGCCTCCCCCATGGGCTACTGAGGCTGAGACCCAGGCTGTCTGGGCTGAGGGAGCCCTGGGTCTCTGAGCCCCGGCCCTTCCCGCATCTACTCCTCCTCCTTCTCCTCCTCCTCTTCCTCCTCCTCCTCTCTGTGGTGAGTGAGTCAGCCTCCTGTCTGGGCTCAGTTGCAGCCAGAAGGGCCAGAGCCCAGGCAGGCAGTTGGGCAGGCATTTTCGGAGCATTGCTGAAGTTCTTCTGGGCAGAGTTCAGCTCTGCTCCAGCTCCCTGCTGGAAGGCTATCTTCCTCATGGCTAGTGGTGGCCACTTCTGAAGAAAACACCCAACACAGCGATGATTATGGGATGGCAATGATATGATTCCAGAAGGGGTTGTCTGTGAAGGGATTATGGCTTTGTGGTAAATCCACATCTCTTTTCCTTCTAGGATCAGGAAGTGCATCCCAGCACCAGAGACTTTACGAGCCCCTCATGTCCTGCCTAGGGATCTTATTAGCTGCCCATCTCTGTTAGTGAGGTGGGTGTGCACAAGAAACAGGAAGGTTTGGGACTAGGGAAACCATGATGCTGGCAAAGAAGGTTCTAAGCCAGGCTAGAAACTACGGGTGGTTTGCTGAGGCAGAAATGGATTTTCTGGACCCAGGAGCCTCACCTCTATGAACTGAGAGTGCTGTGCATTGGGGGACCTTCCTCATCTCTACCTTGTCCAAGTGTTGGAGGGATTGTGGGTCCTTCTGGAATGGTGTGCAGTTCAGCCTGGAGATAGTAAGATTGTAATATTTTCTCCAGCTTTTGTTTTGGGTGCTTCAGATCCATGAGCAGAAATAGAGGCCCCAGAGCCCGTGGCCCCTCACTCAACTGGCCTCTCTGGACCCATTTGAGAAGATTCCACAACCAGACTGTGGTACTGACTCAAACTGAAAAAAGGCTGGGGAATTCACAGTCTGTACTCCAGCTGGTCCCCTGGCTTTTGTTTGGCTGGCCCCTCATCAGCCACAGCTTGGACCCTTTCCATGGTAAAGGATTAGGGAGGACGGCAGAGAAAAAGGATAAGAAGAACAGAGAGTGGGGTAAGGAAGGAGTGAGAGGAAGAGAGCTAGAAAGCTTTCCTGACTGCTCAGAGCTCTTAAGCCAAGACTTTACTTCTGTAAATACTGTGGACGGCCTGATGCTGTTTGGGGTACACTGGTTATTGGTGTGTAGGGTTTCTCAGTCTCCTTCCCCTCTTCAACCTCAGAACTGATCTCCTTTTGGGACTAAGTCCCAGAGGAAGCACCAGGAAGCCCCCTGAACTCCCATCCTTCACTTCCAGAAAACCAATGTGTTCTGAGAGGAAGGCCTGCAGCTCAGTGGGCCAGACCAAACGGTTGCCCCAGACAGGACGTTCCCGTTGCTCAGTTCTTTACCCCACATCCTTAGGAGGCAGCGGCTGTCCATCCTGGCTGAGATCCGCCTCTGCTGGGAACCTGCCGTCGTCAAGGTCTAGCAGTCGGGTTCTAGTGTCCAGAGAGCTGGGGTCAGGAGCCCTGGAAGTCTGAGCTGAGACAGCATTCTGGTTTGTTACTGGGTGGGATGCGTTATGGGACTCTAGTTCTCCATTTGTCACTCTGCCAAGTCCATTTTGGGTGCAGGTAGAGGGAAGTAAGGAAATGACAGGATTTCAGGAGGAGCCTCTTCTATGCCCAGCACAGTACCTGGCCCCCGAGGGATGACAGGAAGCAGAGCCCACCAGACCAGGCCTCTTCCCCGAGAAGCTCTGAGTCTTGGATGGGCAGCTCTTCCTCCATTACTGTCCAGTTCTGAGGGGATCCAGCTGGGCAGAAGCAGCCTAGCTGATGCTCCGGACCACCAGGATCTCATTCTACTTACATTTCTCTCTAATTGCCCCTTGACCTTCCTGTGTCAGTGCCTGCCTGGGTGTGCTGGAGAGTGACCGTATAATTTATTCCCTAAACTGTGAGACTTTTGAGTGAGAAGGGGTGCCATTCATAGTTATGTCAGCACAATATACCAAAACTGTCCAGGGAATAGTGGCACAGTTATTCTAGTGAATGCCATTTGAGACCTAGTGGAGTTCACAGAGGGGAGATGGGAGGGAATGGGTTTAATTAGGAAGAGAAAAGGAGGGTGGTGTTTAATGAGGAAGGGAAGATGGAAGTAGCTTAATTCCAAGAGCAACCTCAACCTCCCTCCCCCCACTCCAGGCTGCTCCCCTGTGTTACTGGCCAATTCCACTCTCCCCCCTGAGGGCAGTGCTGCTCCCAGCCACCCTTTCCCAGGGCCCAACCTACCGCTCATTCTGGTGACTTCCTTTCACCCTTGACTGTGACCGGCTTCACCTTTGGCTTTCCTGCCCCACCCCTACCTCAGACAGGGACAGCGAGGCCTGCCAGTTCCCCTTCAGCTGCCCCTGGGGGAATTGGATTTATAATAGGGCCAAGTCTCAGCCCTATGCTTCCTCTTCCCTCTTTCCCCATTTCTGCTTCCCAGATCTCGGGGGTCACACCATTCCACAGGAGAGTCCAGCTCTAAATCAGGTAAACAACCAGGAAGGGAAGGGTAGTCAAACCTTGCCCTTGTGGAGGAAGGGCACGGGTCACCTGTGATCGGGTTCCAGGGAAAAAGGAAGCAGAGCGGAAGCCAGAGCCAGAGGGAAGCTGCTGGTCAGGAGTTGGGGTCAGTGTGGTGGCCACTGGAGTTTGACTCCCTGGTCTGGTGTGTCTACTGGGGAAATGGTCCAGGGTGGAGACGGGCTGTTCTTGCTCAACCCAAGCCATAGGCGTTGGTGGCGGTGACTGCATCCTGCCCTGGTGATATGTGGAAGAGAAACTGTCCTCCCTTCTGTGCTGTTGGTTCTTGTGGTCCAGATACTCAGGGTGGGCTCCCTGGAGAGTCCCCAGGGGAACCGTCTTTGAGTGACTGGGAGGTCAGTGTGGAGGGGTGGGGCCTCCTTGTAGCCTGCAGTGATTCCGTCTACCCGTGCAGGAAGGAAGTCATTCTCATGGCGACAGATGACAAAGGCAAGTGAAGACCTCTTGGGAAGTCCCGTCTTTTGAGGTGCCTTATGGGGAGGTGGGAAGGGGAGAGACCCTGCTGGACCCGCAGGGGGAGGGGTGTCCGGGAGGTAAACGGCAAGAGTGAGAGGCAGAAGCAGCAGGCTTCCGAGTGTGTCTGAGTGTGTGTCATGCTTCTGCAAACCTGCCCTGCAGGTCCCGTGCCCGGGAATAGACCAAGCAGTGTTCCCAGAACCTGATGCCACACAAAGTCCCCATTCTGCGCAGGGGAGAGTCCTGGTCCTCAGCAGGGCGTGGGCAGCTCTGCCAGCGGGAAAGTGGAGTTTGGGCAGGACCCAGCAGCTGGTTCCTGGGAAGCTGCTGCCTCTCACTGGCCTTCTGACAACAGGTTGAAGCTCTGAGGTGTTAGGCAAGGTGTGACACTCAAGGCACCGTGGGGCACCCGGGAGGCCGGAGGCTTTGCTGGAGACACATCCAGTGTGTGCCATCTGCTGGCACTGGAGTCAGAGCTCCAGGAACAGCTACTCCCTGAGCACTCAGCTCGGGAGTCCCAGATGCTGTGCTAGGTTCACGGCCTGCACAGCCTCCTGGGCCTGCCACAGCCTCGAGAAACAGAACTGCTAGCATGATCTTTTCTCACACGGGAAGCCGAGTGTCAGTGAGACTGAGAAGTGTCCCTGGGTGGCACAGCTGGTGAGTGAAAGTGTTAGGACTGACACTGGGGTCGGTCTTTACCCCCATGGAACCCTACCAGCTCTGCATTTATGGACAGCTGCAGGGCATTCAGGGCCATGTCTCACACAGAACAGGCCTGCAATGAATGTTTGTGAGCGGCAGGGTTAGATTCACTAACTAGTTTGAACAGGTTGACCTGGGAGCAAGCTTGGTTTGCCCAAAGGTTACTCTGGGGACAATGGTGTTTCAGAAGGAGGCTCCCTCTGCCAGCACCCTCAGGTTTCTGCGCCTCTCCAGCAGTCCTGGGTACCTTCCTCAGGTAGAAATAGCTGACAGGAACCAGAGGGAGAGGTGCTCTGTGCAGAGTGATTGCATGGAGCAAATAAGGCTTGAATGGTCTAGAAGGCAAATAAGAAACACTCTTTCACTTTCAAACAAGCCATCGTGTCGATACTCTTCTATGAGTTAAGTATACCAAGGAAAAAAAGGCCATTTCCCCACTGTTACCTGGGAGCTATGTTCTCCTTCTTTACCTCCTCCCCTCCTGGCTTCCCCTTAAAGAATG